TGCTGCAAATTCAAATGGCGCAATCACAATGCCCGATGTTACCGTTTTAATACCACAAATGAAAAGTCAAGTATTGACGGTTGATTGAATTAGATACTCCTTATTTTATCCAAAGACTAAGGGCTCTGGTGAAACGGATCTCGGAGAAAATTTTGTTTTTCTAGAAAATTCATAAACGACCATTAGAATTATTTTATTGTAAATCTAGGCACCGAATCTTTTAGTTTTAGAACTAAAAATAAACCTTTTGATGAAGCAAAAAAAAAATTTTTTTTTTTTTTTCGTTCCCTATCAGTCCCCGTTTCCAGATCAATTAATGGTGCAATTTAACCTTATTTACAATGGTATATTTGATTCCCCTTTTGGCTTTAGGTTCGACATAAGGTAAATACTTGAATTCATTCACGTATAAAGAAAATTAAAGAGCGTGAGTGGATTGTCAGGACCTTTACAAAATTATTTGTTAAAAAACACAGAGAATTGCTGTTACCGGACAATCGGACAAATCGGGCACAACGTATGTGCGAACCTTTTCTAGGTTGATTTTATAACCACCTAAAATGAATAGGAAAGGTTAATAATTAAATCATGCGAGGAAAAGTCCAAATGAACATCATAACAATAATTACCTCTTCTCGTGTGCCAACCCATCGAACCTGAACCGGTACCTTTAAAATTACAGTTTCATGTCCACACCTTCTTAATTCTAGACTACCTTTGAAATTGTGTACGAAAAGAAAAATCAAAAAAAAAAAAGGACATTAATGGCATGCCTTTATAATAGTTGTGACCCCTCTTCGTATTCATCGGGTTTCGTTTGGCCCCACGGTATATTGCTTTGATTACTCCGAATGCCATTAGATTCTCGGTAAAAAAAATTTTTTCGCTAACAGTAGAAAATGAAATCACACGGATGGTAGTACAATGCATCATTTATAAATAGCACGTTAAACGATTTATTCTAAGCCACCCAAATTAAACAGGATATCATTGATGACATAAGCTTAAAAAGAATTTCCTATAAAGAGCCTTACTTTTTGATTCCTTCCGTCCTCTTTTTTTTTTTTTCAAAAAAAATTTCGTTTAAATTTATTGATCACACCGAATTATCTTTTTTAACATAACCTTACACTTTCCTGTTAAGATTCTATAAACATTTTTGGTGCTAATTAACTTTTTTTTTTAAAACCAACAATACTTTATTTAAAAAGAAACTTTTTAATTTATTGTATTCGCAAACTTTCCGTGTACCGTTTATAGGTGGCGAGGGGTATTAACAATAGAAAAATTAAATCCAATTAGATTACAGATTAAAACCTTTTTCTTTTTTTAATAAAAAAAGAAAATAGAACAAAGTAAATATGAATCAAGAACCACTTATGATTAAAATACCTATCGAACATTTACCCGCAACTATTTGCAATTTCTTGGTAAAACCAGGAGAAAAGGTCATAAAATCGCAATCAATTTTAAGTTATGAATACAAAAGGCCCGTACAAGAAAAACGACTCGATTCAACTACAGGAGAGACTGAATGCGTGCACGCTTTAACTCAAATTGAAGAATTAAAGAGTCCTACCGAGGGTGAACTTAAGCAATTTCACGTTATTCCGGGCGAAACAGTCAAAAGAGAGGAGTATGTTTTTATTTCCCGTCAATGAACAAATATTCTTTCAAATGTTGTTGTTAATTCCAGTACCATGTTTATGTTTATTTTTATCCTCAGAAACAGGGCCGTGGTAGGGATAATCGAACCGTGTTTGCACTCAATTCAAATTCATGGATTATGTGCTTTATGTGGAGCAGATATTACTATAAAAGACTCCAACGGGGTTGACTATACTCAAAGGGCCACTATTAGCATGGCTCATAATGTTGTCGGTCTAACAGTTAGTCAGACTGAGGCCGAAAGATTAGAAAAGGAAACATCAAGTAGATTATTGGAAGCGAGAAAGCTTTCTCTAATAGTTGATTTGGATCAAACTCTTGTTCATGCAACAGTAGAACAAACCGTTGAGGAATGGATAAAGGATGAAGAAAGTTCGAATCATCCTACTACTAAAGATATTCACAAGTTCACTTTACCTGATGGTCCATCCGTATACTACATCAAACTCAGGTATGTTGTAATTTAGAATTATTCTAAAGCTCATCAAGCGTTTATGGTTTTTTTTTTAAAAAAAATATTTATATATATATATATAAATCTAATCTTTTCTCCCCCCACTAGACCTGAACTTAAAGAATTCCTCAGGAGAGTGTCTGAAATGTACGAACCTCATATATATACAATGGGAACACGAAATTATGCATCCGCTGTCGCGAACGTTATCGATCCAGATAATACGATTTTTAATGAGCGTATTTTATCACGTGATGAGAGTGGAAGTAAGTTGATTTTGTTAAAAAAAATTTATTTTTAATTTTAATTGCATTGTTGTTGATAATTCTCGTCTCGTTGATGTAAATAGGTATGACAGAGAAAAACATTCGTCGGTTGTTCCCTTGTGATGATTCAATGGTAGTTGTAATTGATGATAGAGCCGATGTGTGGACTTGGTCACCTAATTTAATTAAAGTTCATCCGTGTAAGTACTTTTACCGTTTATATTCAATAAAAATAGACTTGTTCGATTATAATTATGTTGTTTACGTTTTAAATTTGCTGTTTATTTTTACAGACGATTTCTTTGTCGGGATTGGTGATATTAACGATACATACTTACCAAAGGTGGGAAAAATTTTTTTAAAATCGCAGAATCATTCCTTTATTAAATTTTAATTCATTATTGATCTATAGACAAAGTCAGCTTCAATCCCCAAGATCATTGTTTCAGATAATAATAGTAACCCTCCTGTTGAAAAAGATATTGGTATGGTATTTTTTCATAATTCATTTTCATATTCCCTTTCTCTGACTGATTTATAATAAAATTTTTGTTATAGAGCAAGTAATGGATACATCAATCAGCGAGAATAATGTGTCTGCTACTGAAGATGAGAAATCACTGAAAGAAAAAGAGCAAAATGATGATCAAGGAAGCTCTTCCGAGATTACGGAGGAGAACGTTATAAAGAATGATAAAGGTAAGATCATTATATTTATATTTAATTATGTAAAGGATTTATAATTTAAAAAAATTTTTTTTTCTTTTTTGTTTTTCTTTTAAAAAAAAGAAGAAATTTCGAAGGATGTTGATAACTCTGAAGAAAAATCGACCAGAGAGCCACTAAAGGTGAATATTACTGAAAATAATACGTCTATCGATGCTTTAATAAAGCCTGCACAAAACAATAAGCGTTCGTTTAAAGGTATATTGTGTTTTTAAAATTAAGGCCTCTTTTTTTTTTTGAAAAAAAAATTTAATATTAACACGTTACCCATTCTTTTTTTTCCTGCTTGATAGAAATTTCGGAAGACGTCATTAACGATGATGAAAAATCTGTTAAAAAGCAACAACTTGATCGAAATGAAAACAATGAAAATGAAAATAAAGATCCTAATCAAACGGTTTCATATGTAGAGCAAGAATTAATAACAAGTAAATCAAAGCCAATACTTGTTGATAACGATACGGAATTACCTAATTTATTGAAGGTAGATATACGATATTTAACAATTGTAACAGTAAATTATTTTTATTTTAGAGTAATTATAAATTTTTTTATAATTAGGCTTTGACAAGGATTCATAAACTGTATTATGAAGAGTACGATCGTGCTGCTGCAAATTCAAATGGCGCAATCACAATGCCCGATGTTACCGTTTTAATACCACAAATGAAAAGTCAAGTATTGAAGGGCGTCCATATCTTGTTCACTCACGTTATCCCAACGAATCAAAAGAAAGAAGAGTAAGTCTATTTGATTCTTTAATAGATTTGTTACTTTTTTAAAATTTCAACAATGTTTATATTATGATTTTTACAGGGCCGAAATATGGATTTTAGCTAGAGAATTTGGTGCAGAGTGTTATGCGAATTGGAATAGCAGAATCACGCATCTAGTGGCCGGTGATGTAAGCACAAGTCATCACATCGATCTATTACTTTTGTCTAATACTAACAACTTTATTTAATTTAGCGAGGTACCGAGAAAGTTAAAGAGGCTCGACGGAAAGGGAATATCTATATAGTACGTAAGGAATGGTAAGTCTATATAGATTTGATAAAATTTCGAACCTTGTAATTAAAAATTATTCATTAAAGTATTATTGATCATAAAAGGTTGGACGACACCATAAAGAAATGGGAAAGACAGTCGGAAAAAGCTTATGCTTTGGAATCATCATCATCGCGAGATTCTGAGTCAAGTCAAGTATCGGAGATTGATAAGCTTCCGGAATTAATAATTGAAACACCCTCGGGAAATGAGCTGACAGATGATGACGACTTGTTATTAAGTCCGGAGAAACGTCATGAACATTTTGAGGCAACTGACTGGCGATCCGCCTTAAATGAGGTGGAAGAACTTTTAGCCGAGTCAGGTGATACAAGCGCTTTAGATGAAAGCGAAACCGAAACCGAAAGGTATATTTATTTATTTATTTCTAATTGTATTTTGAACGTTTTAAATTAATTTTTCTTCCTTCTCTAGCAATGGACGTAGGAGATTGAAACGGTATGGAGACGCATTGGATGTTGATGATCGTTACATCAAACGTTTGAAGCATTCTCCTTTACGACAATCCATAACATTTAATCATAACGAGGATAACGAGGATGAATCAGAACACGGAAGTCAATCGAGTTTTCAAATATTTAATTCCGAAGGAGATACAACTGGTGATTTCGATAAACTTTCAGAAATTGAATCAGAAAATGTTTACCAAGATTCAGAGCTTGTATTTGAAGGTGATGTTGATATTAATGAAACTGAGCAAGATTATAATGATGAAAATGATGAATTTGGAAATTATTACGATGATTATGATGATGCTGGTAATCAAAGTGATGATGAAGGAGGCGATGATGATTTTGATGATGAGGAGTATGCACAATATTTTGAAGAAAATTTAAAACAGCCTGCTGATCAAGAACCTTTCAAGTGATGAAACTTTCACATTTGAATGAGAAATCAAAAATATATTTTTCGTGATTGTTTGTGATATAGAAAGTCTTTTTTTTTTTTTTTTTTTTTTTTTTTTTTTTTTTTTTTTTTTTTTTTTTTTTTTTTTTTTTTTTTTTTTTTTTT